CGAGTTTTCGGCAAATTACCCATAATAGGATTTGTGTTCCTCGCATTAAATCTGAAGCAAGTCACACACTGTCTAACTGTTAATTTAGCAAGATTTCTTCCTGATACCGGCCAAATGGACTGACGTAAAGAACTGAGTAAAAGTTGTGGGCCGGCATGCATCAATTTTAGATGTTCTGATTTAAAAATTAATTTTGTTAACGGATGGTGTGCCGATACGATAATGGGATGTTTCTTGTCATACGAATAATCTGAATTTGTTAAACGACCACCAACTCTTAATAAACCTTCCTGATCGATAAAAGGATTAAGATTAAGAATTTTGCCTTTATTATTGATTTCTTGTTTATTTAATAAGCTGTTTATCTCTGCGGAGTATGACTCGCTTTGTGACATTTTGAGCAGAAGCTTGTACGCCTTTCTTAATTCTTCAGTATTAAGAGGACTATTTGTTCGCCTAGAATTAGAATATTTGTTTGAGATAATTGAAATGAATCGTAGAACAAATGCTACTGTTCTAATTAGCTTGCTCAATGAAGAGAAGCGACGTATATCTACTACTGGTTCCAACGCACGTATTAATAATGTATTTGAAGCACACTTTAGTTCAGGCAAGTTCTCTGAACACTTTACCCCTTGAGGCCAATCGCATTCGGATTTGTTTAACCAACTTGGACCAGACCACCACAAATTAGATACTTGCAACTCATATGGACTGATACCGCGCGACACTAAATCTGCGGGATTGTCCTTTGAGGAAACATGCCGCCAATCACAAGAACTAGTTAAAGTTTGTACTTCGGCAACTCTATTAGAGGTGAACGTTTTTAATCGGTGTGGTTCCGTTTTCAACCAACCTAGCACGATTGTGGAATCTGTCCATAAGGTAACGCTTTCAAATATTGTGTTGTTAAGTGCATCCTTAACAATTGTAAATAATTTGGCTAAAACAACAGCTGCGCATAACTCGAGTTTGGGAATCGTAATAGTTTTCAACGGACTTACTTTAGATTTTGCGCATAGAAGCCTAACCGAAACCTGATTATTTCGAGTAATAGAACGTAGGTAGATGCATGCTCCATACGCGTGTTCGGAAGCATCCGAGAAACCATGTAATTGAATTGATTGTGCATTTGGTAATATTACGTGACGTGGAATAATTAATGAATTAAGTTTGGGAATCTCGGATTTGATCTTAAGCCATTCACCATGTAACGGCTGAGGAACTGATTCATCCCAACTTAATCGCTCTAGCCAAAGCCTTTGAAGTATAATCTTCGTTTTAATAATACAAGGCGCTAAAAGGCCTAGCGGATCAAATATTTGACCCACAGCCGAAAGAATGATTCTTTTAGTTACACGACCGTCTATAGCATTTGGTTCAATTTTAAACGTCAAAGAATCAGAATCGCATGACCAACCGAGGCCTAATGTTTTTGTGTTTTGATCTTCACTGAATTGAACCGTTTTCTGTGAAGGTACATCGCCCTTTATTAGTTTAAGTATCGTATCGCTATTTGAGTGCCATTTTCGCAATTTAAAGCACCCTTCAGATAAAATTTTTGAAATACCCAAGCCTAAACTCACTGCTTCTTGAATAGAATCAGCACCCGTAATTAAATCGTCTACGTATATGTCGCTTTTAATTATTTGAGATAACTCTGGTCTATTTCTTTCACAATTTAGGGCTAGCTCCATGATACAACGAATTGCTAGAAAAGGCGCTGAAGCAGTACCATACGTAACCGTGTTTAATTCGTATATTTCTAATTCCTCGTTGGGATTACTACGCCAAAATATTCGTTGCAACGATCGCTCTTTCGGATTAATCATTACTTGCCTATACATTTTCTCGATGTCGGCTGTTATCACGAATGCATGAATTCGAAATCTTAAGAGTATTGACAAAAGACTACTTTGTATTGTTGGGCCTACCATTTGTAGGTCATTAAGTGATAAACCTGTAGATGTGGCAGCCGAAGCATCGAAGACAACGCGAAGCTTTGTAGTAACAGATTCCTCTCGAAGTACTCCATGGTGTGGCAAGTAATAGTAAATCGCATTTGTATTTAATTTATTTACTTTGGTCATATGACCTAACGCTTGGTATTCATTCATAAAATCAACATATTTTTCACGTAAATCTGAATTATGCTTAAGTTTTCGTTCTAATGATAAAAATCGCCTTCGCGCTTGTTCTTCCGAATCGCCTAATTCATCTGTACTCGTTTTAAACGGAATAGATACTACGAATCTACCCGTTTCTATATCGCGTTTCGTATTTTCAATAAAATGTTGTTCGCATGACGCTTCTTCTTCGGATATTGCCGGTTTTACACCGCATTCTTCTAATAACCAGAATTTCTCTAGTTGTTTTTGAATATCACCATTTAAAGATAGATTGCAGTGAGATACATTCGTATTTTCTGTAATGTTTCCAGAAATTATCCATCCAAAAGAAGTTTTTTGTAATACTGGCTGATCTGATCCTAGACGTATTTGTCCAATTTGCATCAGTTTCCAAAATAAATTTGCTCCAATTAGTAAGTCTATGGGACCTGGTTTGTAGAAATCTGGATCAGCAAGGATTATATTTTTTGGAATATTTAACCTATTGATATTAACAACAGTAGTTGGTTGGATTCCAGTAATTTCGTTTATAATAAGACATGATAATTTTACAGAATATGCACTATGTAGCGACTCCACAGAAATTTCGCATTTTTTGTTAATCTGGGATTTGCTACTATTAAGACCTACCACGGCCATATTGATATTTTCTGTTTCGAGATTAAGTATATCGCATAAATTTGATGAAATAAAACTAGATTGGGAACCTGAATCTAGCAACGCGCGTACGGTGTGAGATTTATTGAATTTATCAATTACTTGTACCAAAGCTGTGGCAAGTAAAACGTTTTCCTGAGTAATATTTGAACAAGTTAGAGATACATTTGAGTTCTCCGTTGTATTATTTTCGCGTCTATTGTATTCGTTATTTTGTATATGTAATATCGTATTGTGTCTACCGTTACATTTTCTGCAGTTGCTTAGTCTGCAAACCGTATTTATGTGACCAGGTCGTAAACAATTTATACATAATCTAAGTCTTTTCACATGCGTATTTCTTTCTGCTGGGAAAGTTTAAGAAATTCTGCACAGTTTCGAATATAATGATTTTGTTTGCAGAAAGCACAAGTCATGTTATTTCCCGAACGATCAGCTGTATTATTGTTCCTTGAAGAAACATTTTCCGTATTGACAAACGATTGAGATATTCTGGATTGTTTTTTATGAAAAGAAGAGGTATTTCCTGAAGATGTATCGCGTTTAGATTCTATTGTTTCCAGCAAATCAGCCTTTGATTTTAAAAATGTTTTTAAATCTCGCACTGTTGGATATTGCATTTTCGATCTAAATTCTTCCCATTCTCGCGCTGTTTTATTATCAAACTTAGAAGTTACTACGTAAATTATTAAAGTATCCCAATGCTCGGTGGGTTGGTTTAATTGCTTTAATGCTTTTAAGTGTTTTGAAATAGAATCTATCAAAAACCGTAATATTTTTGAAGACTCACATGTTTTAATATCTGAATTAAATAATGCTTTTACATGATTATGAACAAGAAGTCTTTCATTATTATAGCGCTCACAAAGCAAATTCCACGCTACAATGTAATTTGTCTCGCTAAATTCAATTGATGCTATTACCTCGGACGCGCAAGCTGAAAGTGAAGATTTAAGATAATGAAACTTTGAAAATTCCGTAGTGCACTGTTTGTATGTATTAATGAGCTAAAAGTCTCGTGAAATTCCAACCAATCTTCATGATTACCACTAAATTTCGGTACCATCAACTGGCGGAAGACGAAACCCATTAAAATCGTTTAATTGACTACCCGATGCATTTTCCGAGTACGAACTGTTGTTTGATAAATCTGTACTATGCCGAGAAAGTTTAGATTGTAATCGCTTACTTCGGGCCAATTCGCAATAAAAAGATTTCGTAAATTCCTCGCGTTCGGTATAACAACTTTCTAATTCGTCCTCATCAACTAAATCCTCTAACTCTAACTGCGATTCCTCGTAATTTTGAATTATTTTATTCGCTTCTTCGATACGTAAATTTAAATTATGAATCGCGTCCTCTAAAATATGAATTTCAGAGCCTGTTTCCGTTTCCAAATCATTTAAAAAGTTTTTAAAATGGGTTAATTTGGCCTTTACTGCACCCCGTTTTCGTTTTACAATTTTTAATTTCTCTTCAGTATTCATATTTATTTAAGTTATAATAAAATTATTATTAAATTACTACAAATTAAGAAACGAGCAATAAATTCGTATAAATTCTTTCGAAGAATAAATCAAAACAGTATTCACACAAACAGAAATAATTTTATTTTTTGGAGGAATAAATTCGGTAAAGAAAGGATTTTCGTACTCACTGTTTGAATTGTAGGCAACGCCGCTAGCAGCCTTCCTGGCGTCAGGTACACACACAGCGTGGCTTGGTTTTTGGATGATCTGCTCGTCGTAGGTACGCGTGCACTTAACAATATTGGAACTGGAACTGTCTGTTTTCGCGTATGAAATCACTTCGAATTTAACGTTTATTGTTTATTTAAGCCGATCACTGTTATCCGGCTCGAAGGACCATTATATGTATATGAATAAGTGGACTGTATATTTTCTCATTTGGTCGAATTAAAACGCATTTACGCTTTCGTATAACGTTTATTTATTTGAATTTTACAATGTAAGTTGAATGTGTCTTCACACCACGGCGGTCGGTGAAGCTCTCCTCGCCTCTCGAATAGAAGCCGGGACCTCGGCACATCGGGTTGAAAAGCTGCGTTGCCGATGTTCGCAGTCTCTAACAATCACAATTTATTGTTTTCAAGTTTTCTGTTGTCAAATGTACACATTAAAAAAATGGCAAAATTGACTAACGGACTTACTCACCTCAGTCACAGTGCGCAAAATCTTAAATTTTAATTTTCAGTTATCAGCAGTTACTGCTTATTTAGACCTATCCCTTATTTATGGAAATACCGAGGATATTTGTATGAAACTAAGGACACTCGAAGGAGGCCTACTTAAACTAGAAACACGAAATCAGCGTGAATGGTTTCCAGAGTCCACAGAACGGGATATGTTTTGTCCTTTGCTCAATGAAAATGAATTATGTTATCATACAGGTAGGCTAATTCAAAATTACAAAGAAATAAGTAAGTACTTCTTTTGCCTTTTGTTTTAATGTAGGATTTAAGTATTTTTAATCAACACAATATACAGTGTCCTCCAATAGGAAATTAAAGCTTTGACAGTTAGTAGCCGCTATTTTATTACAGCATTTTTCTTTTGCTTTCTCCTATCGAATATCTGCTACGACTTTTTTTTCTGTTTTAGGTCTTTCTCAGCAAATCGTTGAAGCTCAAGCCTATCTTTTTTTATGTTAAGTCAGGAGATCTGTCCTAGTCCTGGTACACGTTTACTCTTAATCTTACCTTCGGTTACGAGTTGAAGAAGACAGTAGCGCACCTAGAATTTTCCTCTGGGTGGGGGGATTTGGTTGGGCACCGAAATTTTTTTATGCTACCTCCACAATTTTAAGTCCTTAAAATGTGTAAATAACAGTGTCGGAATAGGGTCCTAGGGGGGTTAACCCCCAAAACCCCGCTGAGTGCGCCACTGAAGAAGATCATATCTGTTATTTATTTTTATATATGATTTAAATAAGCACACTTTCTCTGCTCATTTGGAAAAGAACTTTCACGTTGATGGTATGAGAAGTCCAAAGTTTTCGTGACATTCTTCCACATACATATAGGGGTTTAACCCCCAAACCCCCCCAACTGGGTTCGCCACTGGAGAAGATCGTATCTGTTGTTTATTTTTATATATCCGCAATATTCAGCTATTTGCTTTATATGATTTAAATTAGCACACTTTCTCTTCTCATTTGGAAAAGAACTTTCACGTTGATTGTATGTGAAGTCCAAAGTTTTCGTGACATTCTTACATATACCTAGGTTTTAATTTTAAATCTGTCAATACTGGCAACCTTTAGCGTCCAGGATTCAACTTCACATAACAGTGTAAAATATATAGAGCTTCACCAAATTTTATTTTAATTATATAGCTTAAATAACCCACCGCATAAATGGCTTCGCATTCTAAAAAAGTTTTCCCTGACCATTTTATTTCAGGCTTGGATTTCTAGTCCGGATTTAGATCTTTACTGATCTAGCTGCCCCGATATTTAAACTTAGAGATTTTGGTTATCTCTGCATCGTATACATTTATTTGCCTTAGTTGATTCAGACTACGATTTATCACTAATATTTCCATTTTGCGGTGTTGAATTTTAGGCCAAATAGAAATCTGAACAAGACTGCGTCCAACGTAATTCCACAAACAATTCAATGTTTGCCATTTTTCATGATTCTAATAGGATCAATAAAATTTATCAATTCTATTGACCGATCTTATTAAATCAGTACAAATTGTCGGATGCGCAGATAACATAGACATCATAGGTAGGTCCACAGAATCTCTGACTGAAGCATTTCGGTCGTTAAGAGCATCTGCACACAGAATGGGACTAATTGTAAATGTTCAAAAGACCAAATATATGTGTTGCACTAGGTCAAGCAACCCGACACCTACATGAATAATAATTGATAACCTAGAACTGGAAGGTGTTGACACCTTCATATACTTGGGGTCGCTGCTAACCAAAAATAACAACGTCAGTGAAGAAATCAAAAGAAGAATAGTGCTCGCCAATAAGTATTACTATGGCTTAAGAAGACAGATAGCCTTAAAAATGTCTAGAAAAATTAAACTTACTATAGACAAAACACTTATAAGACCAGTGCTAACATAGGGTTCAGAAACTTGGATACTAACAGAGAATGACCAAGAATTGCTCAAACGTTTTGAGCGAAAAATACTAAGACAAATATATGGAGGCATAAAAGAACAAGGTTTGTGGCGTAGGTGTTATAATTTTAAGTTGTATAGAAGATTTGGAAAATCTGACGTTGTAAAATTCATTAAGGTAGCACGCCTCAGATGGATAGGTCATATGTAATCAGACGAGAGGAAGATGCCATAGTCAGAAAAGTTTTTGATCGAAGCGGGCCGATCGGACAACGAAGAAGAGGAAAACTGAGACTTAGGTACCAAGACTAGAAAATGATTTTAAGTCTATCGAAATTAGAGCATGGACAAGAGTTGCCAGAGACAGGGGCGAATGGAGGATTGTTCTGGAGAAGGCTTTGGCTCATAAAGAGCTGTAGCGCCACTGTTGATGATTGACCATGAAACTGACTTATGAAACGCACCTTTGCACCATGAGTGCCTTTACAAATTACTTTTTTTTAACTTGTCTAGAGTGATATCTTTATTATTTCCTATAACCCTTAATAGCTACCTTTTTGTGAGATTACTAAACAAAGTGGTAGAAGCAAGTGAAGAATTTGGTCTGTCACTGAATACAAAGAACCAAATTCATGATAATTACAAAGAAACGTATCAATAATATCAACTTACATGTAGGACAGAATCTCATTGAACGAGTACAAAATTACAATTACCTCGGAACAAATATTAACGAGTCAAACGAATACACCAGAGAAATAAGAATAAGAATAGAGAAAGCCCGCAGTGCCTTTAACAATATGAAACAAATGTTGTGTAGCCGTAACCTAAGCCTAAAGCTGAAAATACGAATGCTTAAATGTTATGTTTTCTCGGTCCTGTTGTATGGGGTGGAGGCGTGGACACTAAATAAGCAATGTATGGGTAAGCTGGAGGCATTTGAGATGTGGGCGTACCGAAAAATGTTAAAAATCTCCTGGAAGGATAAGATAACTAACCAAGTTGTATTAGACAGGATGAACAAACAAAAGGAGGTCGTATTGAGTGTTAAAATGAGGAAACTACAATACCTGGGACATATTACACGTGGGAATAAATATCAACTGTTACAACTAATTATGCAAGGAAAGATTAAAGGTAGGCGCAGCATAGGTAGGAGAAGAATGTCGTGGTTGAGAAACCTCAGGGAGTGGTTTGCTTGCACTTCCATACAATTGTTCCGAGCGGCAGCCTCCAGGGTCAAAATTGCCATGATGATAGCCAACCTTTTGTTTCTTCCGACCTCGAATGGCTATTAGGTTTTCGAGGGCTGACCGGTCTCTATATTTTTTTCTACCTTATACTCTCTGGTGTTGGAAGCCATTTAATGTGATAAGTCATTCACCGAGCGATTGCCGGTATAAGTAATCTCGCACTTACTGAAAAACGATTTTGGTCGGATGAGTTAGTAGGTGATAGGGTTCCCTTTTGTCATGAGATTGTGAAATTGGCCTCGAAAGCGGATGCACCAAAGAATTGATCAACGGCATAAGGATGGAGAAGTACAAGTAGGGCAAACACTTTATTAAAGATCCAAAGCGATATGCCCTAGTCAATCAATCATGGCAATGATAAATGCTAAAATAAATTCCGGAGTAAGTCCTCCGTTCGGGTCTCCGGGGAGGACAGTTTTGAGTTTACCAAAAGATAATAAATTGAAGTGTCGAAAAATATTAACATCTGCACATGGAATGTCAAAACTTTATGCAAAGCAGGACAAATCCACAATGCAATACAGGAGATAAAAAGAATTCATATTGAAATCATGGGAATAGCAGAAATGAGATGGCCAGATTCTGGAAAAATATAAATAAAAGATAACAAGGTATATTACTCGGGAAAAAGTGATGGATCACATGAATATGGAGTCGAATTAATCGTATCACCCAAGGTTGCCAAATACGTTCCTAACTTTACACCATTATCAGAGAGAGTGATGCTACTACAAGTAGAAGCCCAGCCTATTAATATAAATGTCATCCGAGTCTATGCTCCCACTGCAGACAAATAGATGGAAGAAGCAATTAAGTTTTACCAGAACATCAACAGTATTATACAGAAAATTCCTTGACAGAAAGTTTTCATTATTATGGGCGATTTAATGCTAAGATTGGAGCTGGAGATAAAATACAGTACATTGGAGTATATGGACTTGGAAAAACGAGAGAGGAGAGCTCCTAGAAAAATTTGCAGAAGATTCAGAACTAGTTGTCATCAACACATTCTTCAAATTACCACCTCGTAAGCTGTACACTTGGAAATCCCCTTGGAAATCCCCTCAAGGCAGACCCGGGAGGCATTATTAGGAATCAAATAGACTACATTTTAGTAAATAAAAGATTCCGAAATAGCTTTACATGGCTGAGAGACTTGAAGACAGAACACGTTCCACTGGTGGGAGTATTTCTAGTCAAACTCAGTATTTCTACTCAACAGTGCAGAAAAAAGCACAATCATACGACCTACGCATGCTGAAAGACGTTGATAGGAAGATGAGAGTCCAAGCCACGTTAAACGAGCAAGTGACTGCAATTAGAGACGAATCGAACGAAGAACAAACGATCAAATAAATTACGGAAATAGTGCAAAATGTAAAGGATAAACACTTAAAGACATAGATTATTGAAGAAAAAATCATGGATGATAGATGCGATCCTTTAACTAATGGACGAGAGAAGAGAAGTCAAAAATGACCCTGACGAATATAAAACGATAAATATATTAACACGTTCATTGCCAACTATTTGTGTGTCCAAAGGTTTGTTTTATTTAATTTTTAAAAATTCACATGGAATTTCTTTTTTATTCTTTCAAACTGTCTGGTTAATCAATTTTCCATTTTTATATTTTGACTGTTTGTTTATATAAACTGACTGTGTTTTAAATCGACAAACACCGTTTTAACTACATCTTCTGCTTTATAAGAAAACAGATAATGACTTTTAGGTTGACTTCAAAGGTAGACTTATAAGTTCTTGATAAAGCCAGTTCTTTCATTTACTTAAAGCGAATACTTTTTTTTCATAACAAGCTGGTTTCTTGGGCATGTATAAGGGAATAAACAACGTCCACTAAATGGAAACGAAACTTCGTTTTAGGTCAGGTATTCACACGAAGTGTAGCAGTCAAGGCAATCTTGCACAAAGAATTATTCAAAAAGACTTCTTATGGGGCAAAATTTGTCTGTTTCCGTTCAATTCGATTATAAATATTATCGAACTGCATGCACTTAATTAAAAATGTAAAATGCCGATGAGCCATTCTTGCAGAACTTATTCCAATACCGGAACCATCCATCGCCCAAAAGTATTTGGTATTTTTTTTTTTTTTTCATTTTTATACAATCTCATCAAGTATAATATTTCTATAATTCCTATTATTCCTGTAATTAGCAATAAATTAACCGTATTCTTTTTTAGAGACAAATATGATTGATCAAATTAGTAGGTTAAAAGGTCAGTTAGTAGTTCATATTTTTATCCTAAGGTGGCGCTAGGAGTTATCGTACCGGCCAAACTGCGCTTCAGGTTAACGTGACGTTCTAGCCTTTTATTACATTAGATAATTTTTTAGTTTCCATAAATTAATGTTTTCAACCATGTATTTTATAACTAAAAATTTCTTTTAAAGGTGATCCAAGAGTGGACCAAAACCCGCCTCTATGCATAACGCATCTTTTATGGGCTCGAGAACATAATCGTGTAGCAAGACGTTTAGGTCACCTAAATCCCCATTGGTCCGACGAAGAAATATTTAAAATTGCGCGAACGATAGTTATAGCGGAGTATCAACACATTGCCTATTACGAACTTCTTCCATATTATATGGGAGAATACAATCTTCTGGAAAGTCGTATTTTATATTACACCGATGATTTTATTAACGATTATAATGCAAGTATGAGACCGCATGTATTTAATGAGCATTCTCAAGCGGCGTTTCGACACTTTCATTCTTTGGTACCGGGATTGCTGTCGTAAGTATTATTATTGATTTCAATTTTTTTAGTATTATTTTTTTTTGTTTCTACTTTAGGTATATGTTATTTACAACAAATATAATTTACTTATTAAATTTTTTTTATTGTTACATTGCATGTTTACAATCTACTCTCTATACAGAGTAATAAGTAGACTTCGGCAAATATGCATATTGTATATTTTGCATATTGTGCATATTTTATGCAAATATTTCATATTTTGGCATATTTGTATAAAAGTTTGCATAAAGTGCATAAAAGTTCAGATTTTTATACTGTATTTGAAAATTTTTAAACATACCAATTTATTTCAATTCTTGTATAAAATTTTGTAGTCATTTTAATCAAGAAATGATCTAAGTACGTAATCTCTACAGGTACAAAACATTTACAATTTCAAAGAAGATCAATTTAAGTAGCCCTCAACATTCTTAGAAAGTCTCGGTCACTGAGGCATTCAGTTATTGGATAATCGCTAAGGGTTCGCTCATTTGCATTTTATGATCTAATCCCCAAATCTATCTACAATTTATTGTATCTTAACAGCAGGTAAACGGCTAATAGTTTTGTTCCTAATTTAGGGATTTTCCAAAATCTCCCAGTTTATTGAATTAGGTACCTAAACATTTCTAATTTGATGCTCAGATTTGTAAATCATTTTTGTTTTGATATTCAAAGAGTAAACACTCGTTGTGCGTAACAAAAAGGAAGATTGTGATTTTATAATGCCTAAAACAACCAGTGCTTCAACTTGGATTAAACCTTATAAAGAGCTGTCTATGGATATGGGAAAAATCTACTGTTCAGTCTGTGGCAAAATTGTAAGTATCTAATATTTTCTATTAAATATCTAATATTTCATACATACAGGGTGTTTCCAAATGACACTTACAACGTTTGACTGTAGATACTTCTCGAAAAATTGAACAAAACGATATAGTTAATGAGGGGTCAAACTTATTTACTTTTCGAGATACAGGGTGTTAAAATTAAAAAAAAATTAAATTCTTTTAGTTAATAACAACAATAACTTTAAAACCAATAAACGTATTTACTTGAAATTTAGTACTCGTAGGTTGTTTTTAAATGAAAAATAGCTTCCTTTAGTGAGAAAAAATTGTCCATGGTACAATACAATGGTGTGTATTTAGAAAAATTTTCACCTTTACTTTTTTTTATGAAGTCAGCTATTCTAAAACACAATTATTTTTATTGTAATTGAATTAACAAAAAAAACTTTTGTTGAATTTTAAAATAAGTTATATGATGTACTAATGGTTAGTAACAAAAACTAATTTGTGGATTAATACTGCATTTAAAACACTTAGCGAGTGTTTTTTTTTACAAACCAGTTATTTGATTAACCAAAAACACCTTGTATATTTTTATATTTTAAAGGTTGGGTTAAAATAAAGGTTTTTATTTTTATTTATAGATAGCACGTGAGAAGAAATTTCAGATAGACCAACATGTGAGAACTGCTTCACACATTGCAAAAAAAGGAAAAATAGAAGGAAAACATCAAACTTCAATGGCTAAATGTTTCCAATCTACTTCAAAAAAATTAGATGAGCAAGAAACTTTTAATGAAGACTTGTGTCGCGCATTAGTGTCTGCAAACATACCGCTTTCAAAATTAGCAAATGTAAATTTTAGTTCGTTTCTAAAAAAATATTGCAAACTTAATGTTCCAAGTGATCGGTCTCTAAGAAGAAATAATGTGAACGGGCTATACTCGTCGGTGTTAATTAATATTAAGGAAGAAATTGCAGATAATTATTTTTACATATCTGTAGACGAAACCACTGATTCCTCAGGAAAGTATATTGCTCATTTATTGATTGGTGTTCTTAAAGAAGATACCTTACCAAAATCTCATCTTATTTCATGCCAGCAACTTGAGAAAACAAATGCTTTAACAATTTCGCGTTTTATACAAGAAACATTAGCAACTTTTTTTCTTCCGACAACTATTCCTTCTAATAAATTACTGCTTATTTTATCGGATGCTGCTCCTTATATGGTGAAAGCAAGACAAAATTTAAAAATATTTATCCCAGATTTAATACATGTTACTTGTGTAGCGCATGGATTAAACAGAGTTGCAGAGGAAATACGAAAAAAGTTTCCTCTTGTAAATACCATGATATCCAGTGTCAAAAAAGTATTTCTTAAATCTCCTATAAGAATTCAACTTTATAAAGAAATGCTACCTAACATTCCTCTTCCACCACAACCTATTTTAACGCGATGGGGAACATGGTTAGAAGCAGCTAATTTTTATACAGATCATTTTGTTAAAATAAAGAACATAATTGATACGTTAACAGATGAAAGTTCCCAATCTCTTTTGGATTCTAAACAAACTTTTCAGAGTAACTTGCTTCAACAAGAACTTTCATTTATAAAATCAAATTTTAGTTTTGTTCAAAAAACAATTACTCAGTTAGAATCACCAAAACTGTCATTGTTCGAAAGTACAGCATTAATAAAAGAACTTGCGTCATGTTGTCGGAACGTTAGAGGTAATATTGGAAAAGATATTTTAAAAAAATTTGAAGCTACTATGGAAAAAAATAAAGGTTACCATATTCTTTCTGAAGTTGTCAGTGTTCTAGCTGGAAATATTTCGGAAACAATTAATTTAGAACCAAATGTTTGGTTAGTTGAAGTCCGAATCGTATGTTGACGTTTTTCCATATATAAATATATGTACTCAGACAGAAGCCACAAGTTTTTGTTAGAAAATTTTAAACACCACTTGGTCATTTATTGTTACCATAATTCTAAATAAGTTTATTCATACTTAAAAATGATGTAGTTACTTAAAATAAATGTAAATCTTAATGAATAGTAGGAAATATTTAGTTATGTACACTTTTTTTTTAAATAAAATTGTTACTATTTTACGATTTTTTTATTTATTTGTGTGCATATTTTGTAAAATATTTGCATATTTTCGGGTAAAAACTAAGTACTATTTCTCCAATCTTCTTCTTCTTCTTCTTCTTCTTTCGGTGAGTAGTTGGGTAAATAAATTATTTGTCAGTTCGTTGTTATGATCAGTAGTGCGATTTTTATATATTATTGAGTGATTCTTTATTATGTGCGTAAGTAATGGGATGTTTAGACAATTGTAAAGTGTTTGGTTAGATACAGATCATGTAGTTTTACTTATCAATTAAGGTATTTTGGATTGCAATATTTGAAGTATCTTCGTATTTGAAGGTTTACCACTGCCCCATAGTTCTATTCCATATACCCAAACTGGTATGAGTATACAGTTTGTCCCAAACCCTTTTTTCAGTGCGTCACTAATTTTGACGTCATATAGGATTTTAAGAATGTCGAGAATTATTGCATGACATTTTAGTTAAATCTGACAGTTGCAGGATCGTAATCGGCTAAACGTGAAAAGGTTATTTTTTTTAATGCATAGCAGTTTGTCATAATTCTATTCTATTCTGTTCTATTTTATACATTCCATGGAAAGTGCTTAATTAGCTAAGATTTGTTTATGGATTTATTATTATTTATTACAAACACTAGGGAATTGGAAGGTTTGTTTATTTAAAATAACGCTTCCTCCTAGAATCTTTTAAGAGTTGACTGCAAGGTAAAAAAAATTACTGACAATTGCAAGGCATCAAAGTAAACATTCCTGCGATAAAATAATATCGATTTAAATCAGTCATATTTGGATAAGGAATTTTCTGATAAGTTTGTGTGGCAGCCAATAGTTTAATTTTGTGAAGAGTTGTCATTAAATAGTGGAAATAGTTTAAATAGTGAAGCAGTTGATTTTTGAGTTATTCTACCAGATTTGGTGTGCAAATGAAAGAAGGTTATAAAGTTTAGTTAAAAAAACAATATAAATAGTTTAAATAGTGAAGCAGTTGATTCTTGAGTTAATCTACCAGTTCCGATATCCAGATGAAATCGTGTTAATGGAGTTTAGTTAAAAAACAAGATACAGAATGTAAGTTTACCTTCTTTTTTATGAATAACAAAAATGAATATTATATTTCAAACAATCTATAATCCCATTCAGAATCTGATTCTTGAAAATCAATGATTACACTAGATATGTGGCTGGTATCAATTATATCCTACATTTCAAGAAAATGTCGTGGTTCTAAAAAGAACCGTTTTAATACATATAAATATCCATAAAGGTATTAGTTTAAGATATTTCCTCAATATCATTCCGGAATTCACAATCTGATTCGCGAGCGACAGAAACTGAAATAAAGATAACTCAGCCTCATTTTCTAATTGAAACTAATTTAATAATTTTAATATTAGTCTTTTTTCATTCTCGGTATATCTCGGAATATTTAAAATATTTTTATGACAATAAATACAGAATTTAATTTTCACTGTAGTTAAAATGTCTGAAAATACTAACCTGGAATGGCAATTATCATTTTATCAGTTGTTGTGAAAGTACTGTCACTGTCATTATCAAGATCATCTGTGTCAAATTATATTTATATGCATAATTGATTGGATATCTATTTAGCATATTCTAAACTCCAACCAATTATACGTTCGTAAGTAGAATTCGCTTTAATATGCGAATACCCGTAAACGATACCTAATTTTCTAATTTCTATGTATAATAATAAGCGACTCACATTTTTTTCTGTCACTTCTAGCTTAATGCGTTAGAGAGAATTCGAACAACTATGACGCACTGAAAAAAGGGTTTGGGACGGACCGTAGCTTGTTAGGGTAACATGTTAAAAAAAACACGTCACTGGCAGCTGTCTGTATTCGTAAAGAGGCCGAACTTATCACGGCACCGTATCGGCTAAACGCATCGGTATTATTGCTACAATACTGGGAGACGTGAGTGGTCTCTTCATTCTCTTCTCATCGCACTTTACCATGACGAACGTGACTCACACAATTGAATTACGCATCTGTGTATCAGAGAAAGACGAATATTAAAAATTCCGTAGTAGCTTATTTCAGGCACACGTCAAGAACGATGAAAACTAGTATAGCCATCTTTGTTTTATTAATTATAAATAAAATCATTTTTCTTTTGTTTTTAATTTAGTTGTGTTTATTTGGTTATTTTTCTTGCAATATAACTTATTTTTTGTTAATTATTATACATAAAATTATTTTTCTTTTGTCTTTAATTTAACTTAAACTCATATATTGTCATTGATTACATGTTATGTACTACAAATTACAATAATAAATAAGAAAAATAAACGTTAAGATATTTTTTGGAATTCTTTAACTTTTTCAGTTGCTGGGGTTTGTCACACCCCACCTATCTGTTGTGGAAAAAAAATTCACCTGTCGGATGCCGGGTAAAAATAATCTAAACACAAATCTTTAAATCTCACAATTAGGGAATTATAATATCAAAAAAAAAACAAGTAGGTGAATTAAAGACAAAAGTAAAATTTTATGAATTCGAGCGCGTCATCATCTATGAGTACTGAGGTATTTATTCAGGGAATTTTATGAATTCGAGCGCGTCATCATCTATGAGCACTGAGGTATTTATTCAGGGACTCTGGACAGAAAAGAATCCTAAGGACAATGGACGAAAGAGCAAACACCATTTTCAATGGTCTCGTAAATCATCCAAGCAGGACATTAAGAGAGTTGACAAACTACGACATAAACACTAGAACGGTACATAAACGGCCAAAGCAACAACTTATTGGATATAGAGAAGAAGGATAAATGAAGAAAGAGATAGACACAGAGCCGACTACAGAGTATATTAGACAGTGAGCACCAAAAAAATATAGTATATAAGAACAATATACACCGGGGTGTGTGCAGGCACTATACACCCGGGAATGCACACCCCACCACACGCACACTTAGATTAGATTAGGTTTAGATTAGAATAGGGAAAACAAAAAACACAAAAAACATATACACGGAGTGTGTGAGAGCGTTATACACTTGGGAATGCACACTCCATAGTTAGGTCATAGTTAAGGTATTAGCATAGATAGACTTAGTTTAAAAAAAACAAAAATCGCTCACTGTCTAATTAATGTCATGTCATCTTCAAGATAAACAAGAACACCCGTTACATCACAAAAATTTACATAACACAAATAAGAATGTATAAAGGCCCGTCAGGCACTCTATACCAGCCAGCAGGCACAGGCCCTTCAGGCAGATCAAATATTGATCAAACGCGGACTCTGAGCATCGAGGTCATGTGCGGCAAGCATGGGCTCGGTGGCCAGGACTCACTTCTCGAACACCCAGCCGGCGAGGAGAACAAAATTTTTATTTTGTCAAATCGGCGACTGAGTGAACGAGCACACACATTCTTTCCCAGACAGAGAGCTGTCGGTCTAGACCGATGGCTCTCTGTCTGGAACACACGCTCTTTTTAGGGACATGAGTCCCGAAGTAAAGCTAGAGTAACTTCTATAGAGTCAGTAAAGTTAAATAGGGAAAAAAGCCGACATGTGTGCTACCCCTACAGTTAGGTGGCCTAACCACAGTCATTAAAAACAGAAGGTGTCTCATTACCCAAGACACCTTACGTAACATTCAGATCATAAGCCTCCTCACGTAAGTCACACGCTGAGGAGGGGTGGAGGAAAAGCCTGGGGGTCAGATAGGTACCACCTCAACTAGTGAGGTGTAACCGGTTTGATTTTCGGACATGTGGATCCCACTCTTACAGTGGTATACACATGTCCCTAGGGGTAGGGTTGATCGCCTCGCGTGATTGTGTGTGTGTGTCATCTATAAGTAAAAAGATATAAATTAATAAATTATTTACGGTCACAATAAATGTTTTACCGCCTGCAGCCTCCGTTTTTTTACACGGGGACTGTGGTCGGCCGGGGAGAATCTAGGTGGCTCGAGGAGTCTGTAACACCGAGATGGTAGCGTCCGTCACTGTTGGAATATCACACACATTCACACCATGGTACAACGAAAAGAAGGTATGATCGATAGCGTTCTAAATTTCGTCCGTTCTGCGCAATGACGTCATGCGGACAGGTACATTCTTAAAGTACATGGAAGGACTGCTTAATTTCATCACTGTAATATTTTATCATTTATAATTTATTGTTTTTATTATTATTAATATGTTTAATCACTTTATGAGGAATCTGATATTTCGTGCCGGATTAAGCGTTTTTTAGGGCCGGAAGCTAAATAGCAAATATTGTTAATTCGGTGCCAGAAATATTAATTGAAGGCTTTGGTCAACTTTAGTATTTAAAACTCATTAATGTAATTCTGCTGAAATTTATAATAAAAATTCATTTATTTGTGGTTATAGCATGATTTTATTTCGTTTATGATACAAATAATTTTTTTTGTATCATGTATTTACATTTTATTGATATTTAAAATTAGGCAGAAATTAAACATATCAATAATTTTAAATGGCACATAGTTTACTAAAAAAGTCCATACAATTCCAAGAATATAAGGGTAAAAACACAGATTATAAAGATATAATCAGCCATTCTTTTGATGACATATTTTCATTGTTAAATACTTAAATGTTCAAATACCGTGTAAGGCCACCAAATCTAAATGATATCAGTAGTTATTCTTGTACTTAACGATGTTAATTTTCATATTTTTTTTGTTTTTCTCATATGTAACAAGACCAAACAAAAATATTGAGAATGATATTCAACGTGCCCTAGTATGTAAAAGCAATAAAACCCTACACGAAGACTCAGCTACACTTATGGTATAGAAAGAAATTCGAAGAAGCACTAAAAACTACTTTGATGGAATGAGATATCATCCAAATGATGAAGCAAGATTGCTACGCGCTCCTTCCGGATTTGCAAGACAATTGAAAAAACTGTGACGAACCGACATAATAAATTATAAATATTTATTTATGTATTAATATACGGAATTACCCCCGTTACAAAAAAAAATGTATGTTAACATATAGTGTAAAAATCAATTTCTGTAATCGCTTACAAACTAAATGAAACTAAAATCTTAAATATAAGTCAAACATAATATTATTAATTATATAAATATGAAACAAAATGAATTGAACACAAAAGGGCCTATAACTTGTCAAGATTTTTAACCGATTTTTAAATGAAGCCAAGGAGACACCAAATATTTCTAAATTGTTCCTATTTACAATTTTCAGTGTTCGCTTAATGCTTAATGCATACCATAATTTGTACGGTGAATAAATATATAAAACAGATCAACATGTCTGAGATTTCTGGAGGGAACATAATATCTCTTAATAATAATCTCTTTTCTTTGTATCATGCATTCATACTGAGCATAGTGCGACAAGCCGACTCTCAAAAGCCGAGGCGCCTCCACTCACGAGCACGCCCGTCCACGAAACTTCAGTGCAATACACTGGTTACGGGGACGGGTAAAGCTCGAGACTGCACAGGACCAATGGTCACTAGAGACCCGGTCTTGTCGTATCTAGCTCAAAACACACACACGGCAAACTGAAAAGAACAACACATACAACTAGCCTTTCTCCCTGGTTCTCTGGCTCTCCGCATGCGAACACAAACTCCTCCACGTGAAAAAGGTGCAATAACATCAAGAAGAAGACGAAGAAGAACTTTACGCCGGTGATTTTGGGTGTTTGCCTTTGTACGTACAATCAACAACATTCAAACTCATGCCTGAAGAGGGTCAACCGACCCTAAACGGGTACAAATAAATCATTAGAGAGTTATCAAGTAAAATTTTATCCTTCCGTTATTTTGACACGTAAACGCTATTTTTTACGGTATAAAGTTTTACGGATATGTAATTTTGGAGTTATCAAATAGTCGAATTGGTGCTTTACGTTAATAGTTGGCAGCTGTCAGTCAAATGTCGTATGTGACAGCAAAATAAATAATTTGTTTATTTTCTTTCATCCAAGGTATATATTTTGTCTGGTTTTGTACATTTTGGGTTTCAAATTTTTTCTACAGAAATATGAAAAACATTTTAGAACAAGCAAAATTAGTTGAAGCAAATGACGAAGTTATAGAAGATTTAATATTAAATCATATTTTAAATGATATCATACAAAATGTACATTCGGTATTTAATTTTAATAGCTTAGCTTAGAGTCTGAGTGAGCAAGCCAAATAGTATTTTCGGTTTGAAAAACAGAACATTCCAGAGAGTTGACTCCCCGCACTTCTTTTACTAGTAAAAGGTCATCAGTGCTTGTAGGATGCAGCCTTTTTATCGTTTTCACTATTTCCGTGTTCATAATTGATAAATATAATGAAATATATTAAAATCTTTTATTTGTCTCGCAGATGCTTAACCAAGAAAACAGAAAACACGTGTTAACCAATGCATAGAGATAAAATTACAGAACATGAACTCGAAACTCGAGTTCCGAGTCTTGACGAATTGGTGCGATTCGCTGATAACGTTACCGTATATCAAACCCGCTATTCGACGTACGGTAACGGAGCCCGTAAACGTTAAAATCATTTACGTTATTCACATTTCATACTGCGCATGCTCCGCTATCAAAATAACGTTACCGTATTCTCACTCTTTCACTTGATAACTCTCTATTCTTCCTTTCGAAATAAAGTAATCCTTCCCTATCCCCGCGAGAATGTACGACGAGCCAACCAACGGTCACAAACGGTCGTTCTACTGTAAAATTATCTAATTGTCTTACTACTCGTATAACGTCAAAAATATATTTACGCTTAGAAGCTTTTTAAACTTAAACTAATAAATACATATAAACGACGCAGATATAACTTTTCATTATTTATTAGAACACACCCTCTACCGCTTGTTTATCTTTCCGCAGTACATTCTACCTATAACAATCCATCTTCTAAGGATACTTGCTGCGTCAAACCTACACTTATGTTTCAGATTAGTCGATGCTTCTGGCTGTCCTTATAGATCAATTGTGATGAGGGATTACATAAATCGTCCTGGTGTGTTGGAAAAAGGCGATTACTTGGACTCCATTATCCGCGGCATGGTCACGCAACCGGCGCTTACACCTGACGCTTATTGCGATCCGGAGGTGAGTAATATTATCTTTATTTGTAGCTGAAGTCCAAGAAGCAAAATTGCGGCTTGTGAGTTAAATGTCTGTGTGTCACGTTGGTCTTTTATATTATACAAAAGAAATTACAACATGAACTATTTTATACCAGAAATAATATTTTAGGTACATCAACCGAGGTGTATGTAATAACTTATATTATTTATTATACAGATTGAACGAAATAAATTCGGAACATAGGAATATAATGTATTTCGGCTCAATTCTGCTGTAGGTGGTTGGCCAACAAAATATTGTCAAATAATTATATTATAAAAATCCAATACTTCAGCGGGCTGCTGGATTCTGAACTCATAAAAATTGAAAGCTACACATAAATCTACGATTTATGCTGTCAAACCAGTTATAGTCCAGGAAATGAAGCATTTCAGCTCGCAATTTTTTCGTGCTCCCTGGATTGACTTGAAATTTTACAGAAGGTAGGTAATAGCCTAAGGATCAAAATCTATATCGAACCAAAGTGCGCCAAAGCCTAGGGGTGGTTGCCACCCCATCTCCGGGGTGAAATTTTTTTTTACGTTTTAACTACAGGTTTCGATTAAAAAAGTGATTCTAAACAAAAAATGTGCTATACATTTTTTTTATAAAATGATATTTTTCAAGTTATCCGCGATTGAAAGTAATAACTTTTAGACGAAAAAATCCACGTTTTTAATCGATTTTTCGCGAATAATTCGAAAATGGTGCATTTTATCAAAAAAATTGTAGAAAACAAATTTGTAGCTTTTAAAAAGACAAATACAATTCATTTTTTAAAATGTTTTTGGGATATAATAGGAACCGAAATACGGCCTATCAATGTTCAGCGGTTTTCTTCAAATGCCAAATTTGAAAGATTCAAAATCAAATATCGGGAAAATGATGCATTTTTGGAAGAAAACTCACAAAACCTTTTTTAAAGAGCATAAATAGACCTATCATAAAAAAGACTCTAGCTCAAAAATTGAGTGAGTATGATGAAAATAAGGTCAATACCTCATTTTTTACGAAAAAATCGAAACAACACCCTAACCTCCTCCATAATTAAAATCGATCTTTACCCTTCTGAAATTCCCTTTGTACATGTATTGTTAATACGTCCAAGAAGTTTGACCCATTTAAAATGCTTTGTGTTAGCAAAAGTACAGCTTAAAGCGAGAAACGATTTACAATTTCATATTTTTTACCCTTCTTTTTTTAAATATGCCCGAAAATACTGAATATATGAAAAAAATACAATTACCAATGTACTTTTTAATGACTAAATATCTTCATTAGATTTGTTGTACAATGATATTTGGCGAGATATAGCCGTTTAAAGCATCGATTTACGATCAAGCACCATCTTTTCGAGCCCTTTAAACTCACCCCATTTAAAAACCAAGGGTTCCAAAAAGATTTAATTCACAGATCCTTGTAGCTCTTAAAAACCTCTACAAATCGTTTTTAAAGAAACACTCTATCGTTAAAAATTAAAAGAAATACGTTAAAAAAACCAGTGAATTTTTTTCCGGAAAATTCTATTAGTATATAGTACAGTACATTTCGGAGCATAATAATCTACAAAACCGGTATATTAGCTAGTGGGGCGTTATACATTCGAAATTTTAAGCGTTCTTATTTTGAAATCCCATACAACAGAATAAAACATCTGCTCATATGTCTATGGCTTGGCAATGAAAATATTAGAGCAACAGATTGGGGATGGTATTCCAAAGATGGTTTGTTATTACCCGTACGCATGAACAAACAACCTGCACTCGATGAACTTTTGAAAATTATTTTTTGGCAATGCAAAAAAGGATGCGGTGTTTCATGTGGGTGCAGAAAAGTTGGTTTATACTGTAACTCTACTTGTTCTGGGTGCTCAGGTGAAGGGTGCAATAATAGTCCACCAATAATTGAAGATGAGGATGACATAGATCACGATGAAGATGTAATTGATGACGAATAAAATTAATATTATAATTGTTTTACCTATAAATGTAAATATTTTCTACTATTTATGTAAATGTATAAGAATATATGGTGCCTTTTTATGTTGATAAATTTTTTTGTATTTAATTCTACTTTTTTCAATTTATATCTTATAAATTAGTTTATAAAAACTGCAATGTTGTAAAGGGTGATTTTCAAAAGTTGAAAAGTTGCAAAATTTTGGCAAAAAATTGTTTTCACCTATAGCACTCATAACAATTGATTTTTAAGGGTTGAAAATGTATGAATTTGTATTTTAAAGTATAAAAAAATCAATATTTAACTAATCCAAACCAAATTTCACTCATCTTAAGATTTATAATATTATTTTACAATTTTTGAAAATTAGGGGTAGTTTTCATCCCTAAGAACAATCAGGGTTCATCGCATGACATAAACTATAAAGCAGAGGGTGAGTTGAGCTTAAGTCCAAATTTTTATGCAAATCGTTCCAAGGTGAAATCATTTTCTTCGCATTACTAATTTTTTTATATTAATCTCTAATAAGGGTCGCTTTTTAAGGGTTGAAATATGATGGAACTTTATTCAAAAGCACGAAACTATCATTATTTAATTAATTCAAACCAAATTTTACCCATATTCAGGTTTAATATGTTATTTTATAATTTTTGACAATTACGGGTAGTTTTCACCCCTTAGAACAATCAGGGTTCGTCGACATGACATAAACTATAAAGCAGCGGGTGAATTGAGTTAAATCCAAATTTTTATCCAAATCGATCCAAGGCGAAATCATTTTTTTAGAATTAGTAATTTTTTTACATTAACCTCTAACAAGGGTTGCTTTTTAAGGGTTGAAATATGATGGAACTCTATTCAAAAGTATAAAATAATCATTATTTAACTAATTCAAACCAAATCTTACCCATATTCAGGTTTAATATGTTATTTGATAATTTTTGACAATTAGGGGTAGTTTTCACCCCTAAAACCCTTCAGCGCACTTCGCTTCGATATAGATTTTGATCCTTGGGCTATCACCTACCTTCTGTTAAAATTTCAACTGGATACATGCAGGACGAAAAAATTGCGAGGTTTTAACTTTTTTCGAGATTCATTTCCTGAACTATTATCGTTTCCTTAGACAAACCCGTCTTACGCAAACAACATTGTTGTGAGACAGATAGTTGAACGATATTTTATACAATGTCTATACCCAGGTATGGATTTATTTTTGTCCAAGTTTTATATTGGTCCACTATTTCAAATGCAGTTCAAACAGACATGTATTAAATTGTATGTTCCGTTTTAATTTGGTTCAATCTGTATATTCTATACAAGTTTTAAAAAGTTTTCTCAACAATTTGCAGAGAATGTAATATGAAACAGATATTCAAAGTAAATGAATATCCATACAAATTGATTGCGCACAAAAAAATAAATGACTTACATTAATCACACTTATTCCAGATAAACTATTAAACGAAACATCAACCCTATTAGATAAAAGTCGATAAAAATATCTTAAATTCACTTGAAGCTGGTATAAATAAATAGTTTAATTTTCTTTTTCATTCCAAGATTTAGATATATTTTGAGCGTGCTAAATGTTATCAAATTTTGCACCATTTTATACACCATCTCTGGCAGATATTAGCTCGTGGATAGAATCGTGGATAGCTCGTGGATAGATGTCGTTCTAGTAAATGGAGAATTAAGGGATCTACTCTATTCAGATGATATTGGGTTATTTCTGTATAGATATATATATATATATATATATATATATATATATATATATATATATATATATATATATATATAGATACATATATATATATATATATATATATATATATATATATATATATATATATATATATATATATATATATATATATATATATATAAGCCTTGGTGCGCCAAGCAATTAATTAGCTAATTAATTAATTAAAATTATATAAATGATATGACTATGGTTCTATCACACTTTATAATTCTCTTATCTCAGGGTTCTATTCGTGCTTTAATATCTATGCTATTACATGTGAAAGGTAAGGTCCAAAGAATACCGGAATTATAAAAAACATATAGGATCTAACATTATATATTGAAATAAAATAATGAAATTAAAATCACACTCAAAAATTTTCAATAAACAAAATCTCATATAATGATTCTCAAAATTTTGTTCTACGTACGTGAACCTTCAAAATTAATGGTACAAACAATATTAGTTGAAATCTCAAAATCCCAAATATTGTTCTAAATCTCCTTATCAAAATATTTATATCCTTTCTAAATTAAGTGTAAAAATTGTGTTATCAATTAAACAAAAACTGCAGAAAACAAAACTATCTCTCTCTGATGATGAGTGGTCCAAATCCTTGTTCCTTGTAGACTATATTATCTACTCTCAGCCGCTCCCTAGGTAATCAGCAATCTTACAACAAATTATTGCAAGTTTATCGTCCTTAATGATCTCCTTCAAATGCACGAATCGTTCAAATTATGCTAGCTTCTTCTTCTCTCAATAAACTGAATCTCTCGTTGGCCTGAGTGAAAAATGACTCTTGGAATATCTTTTCTTTACGATAAACTGAATCTCTCGTTGGCCTGAACAGTGACTCTTGGAATATAAGTAGAAAATATAACTTACAATCTTTTACTGGATCAGCTTCTATTAGATACACTAACTACACGAAAACTCTCAAACTTTTACTGCTACTGCTTTCTACCTCTGGGAAACTACCCGAGAACAACGGCTGTTCGCCTTCTACCCTTGGAAACCAACTGAATATCTTTTCTCATCTAAAAACTAACTAAAGTCTTATTATCAAACCAACCATCCCACCTTTTTCAATCTCATCCAATCAAAACGCTTCATACATCTCCCATTTCTTCATTTCGATAACACACAAATTTTTACCTACAATTATAAAATTTCCTAAAACTATTTTACAAAATAATCTTTTTCTACCAATTGATAGGAACTTACAAAAACATGTCTTTCTAAAATCTATTCTATTGTCCTAATTACT